TCAAACAAGTCATAGCTAACGGGAATGGAATCATAAATAAACAGCCTAACGTTCTCTCTAAACTGTAGTCAGAAATGAAATAAAAACATAAGATAGCCCGTTTGTTTGCAGTAAAAACTATTACTTTACTTTCAAGCTACTGTGAGTTGAAGGTGCTCATAAACTACTGATAAAAGTGTAAACATTCTGGTTATTAATTTTTGGTGATTAATTTATAATACTGGATAAAGTATTTGGGGGGGTCGTGGGTGCACACTGCTGAGGAGTCCCATACTAGGACGAAACAGCTGTCCAGTGCTCCCAGGTTTCCTTTGTTCCTCCAACTGATGTCAGTCTACGATGAATGACAACTTGAAATAATTCCAAATCTCCACAACTCCCTCAAAATTTAACTAAGAATTGGCTTTAAATGATGACGAAATTACAGTTTATAGCATTTTTGTTTATTAGCATTTTCAGTGTTTCAAATGATAACCTTTTAAATGTTGTATTAATTGTATATTCTTGTGGTGAATCGATTTGTAAGACGTTTCATATGCTGATCAGTACAGAAGTAACTTTGGAAGTTCTAAAGTAGCCTTTAATAGTCTAAAGACTAAGCATAAACTTCTTGTTCAGAAAGTCACAAATAGCACCACTTAGTCAGTTTTTTAGTTTTTAAATATTATGGGTTTTTAACTGAAAAAATGTAGGTTGGTGACTTTTCTTGAGAGATTTGCTCGATGGTGGCCAATAACGGAGGTTAGGAGACGCATCTGGTCTTATTTGATGCTCATCAGCTAAAAGATTATTATACACATGATTTTGTTACTGACAGTGATAGTTTAGTGAAATTGAGGCATTATTTAACTTCATTATCTAATTTGAAATACTTTATGTACAACCCTGAGGGATTTCATTCAACTAAAACTTTTGTTAATCGTTCATGTGGACTATTAATTTCAAAAACTGACTTTGTGACAAAACGGAGATCTTGAAATGCTAAACTAAGTACAGTCTTCAAATCTTTGATGAGTTCATCTGCTGTTAACTGACAAATAAACGATTTCTTTTCACTGCATTTTCACGACAAATAGCATTTCATTTTGGATGGTGAAACATCATATATCTTGTAGTTTCAGTACATAGAGCCAGATGTGGCCGAGTACATCGCTAAAGAGCTTGGGCCTAAACGCGCAAAACAGCCGTCCGGTGTTTAGGCCACTGTCATCTGAGTGGTGTAACCTAAAGATCAGCCGGATTGGTTTTTAACTACTTGCGTAGTTCAGTAGTAGTTTGTTTCACAATAGACGGGAACCTCGGATGATGTAGGTTCAAAGACCGCTCCATCTACTGAGGTTTGGGGAGCCAGGCAGTGTCACTGATCAGCACGCAATAGGTGTGCCTCACTACCTGCTACGCGAATTTGCCCAAGGAGGCTAAATGGGTTTCAATTTTTTCGAATAATCAAAGACTGAAATTTGAATCTCTGTAACTTGAAGAGAGGGCGAGACAGAATTCTCTGATAATCTCTTGGCATCAAAATTATTTATAGCACTTCAGAACACTGACAATGACTGCAAACGTAATATTTTACAAGTTTCTCTTCAAATTTCCGCATGAACAATTTACTTTTTTGGCTGGTTAAGATATTTAAGCTCATAAAAATCAAAGCTTTTGAGTTGAACTCACAAAAAGGAACTAACTTCTGGAATTCTGGTATTTTCTCGGTTGTCAAGACTACGTTTTCGATATCATCTTATAAATCCTTCTTAGTTCTACTCACAGCTGTGAAAATGTCAAACGTAACTCAGTGATCAGCCACAATTACACACATTCATTACTGTAGTGAATTATACTTATAATATGTGGATTGATGATGCTGCATCATTGTCTGAACCTTGGTGGGTGAAATTAGATCCTAAGTAATAACCCCGGAGTAGCAAGCTGAAGGCAAAGACTGATGAGCTACACCTATAACCATTCTCTGTATTTAAGGTTTCACGAGTGATTTCACCGAATTTCCTCCTTATCTCTCAAATAGTGAGGTAATTTTTGAAAAATGAGTTTTTCTACTTCTTACAATATCAGAGGAGATGAGATTAGTTTCCAGTTTTTGAAAATAATGAATTTTTCAGGCTATTAAGATGATTCGTCTTAGTCAAGAGTATTGACAACCAAATCATTCAGATGTATATCAGATATGAACGTGAACAAATAAACAAAATGAATACTACGGATTTAGGAATGTTTCAACCCCACATACATTTTATCATAAGCATACTTATATACATAAATATCTTCTATTAAATAGCTCTATCATATTTCTTACATAAAACTATTATTTAGACACTGCGTTTTTAAGGTTAACTGGATAATACTCTAAGCAGTCAATCAAAAACAGACTGGAAAGTATTGAAAAAATCCAAGAGACTGATGGATATCCTAAAAATGTTGATTAACAAGTATTTTAAGTCTTAGATTGAGAAGTCTACTGAAGTGGCTGTTGTAAGATAACGCATTTTCATTCAACTCCTGTATAAATAGATGAGTCCAGATCAGGTAATAATCGGCCATCAAGTATTTGTACTCCTTTTAACAATCAAGTTGGCTGTGATTTATGAAACAACGAAGATATTCAAAGAAGTCTTACTTTGTTAGTTTAACGCTGAAAACTATTAATCCCAGCAGGATTTATGGTACTACTAAAATTCATAAACCAAGTTATCCTATAAGACCTATAATGGAGTTTAGAAACACTCCTACGTATGACTTATCTAAATATTTAGCAACGGTACCAAACCCAATTAGAAACCGTTCTAAATCAAGACTTACTAACTCTTATGGCTTGAAGCATACCATACAAAGAAGGCACCTCAGAAACACTACGTAGAATTCCCAATAAGGCTGGGATTACAGTGGCATTTAAACCTACAAACTCACTTCGAAATAGGCTTTGTAGGTTAAAAGATCCTATTGAGCCAATCAAACAGAATAAGTTAGTTTACCAAATCCCTTGCGACGATTTTGAAGTCAAATACATAGGTCAAAGTAGTCGACCAGGGTCAATTAGGTTATTGGAACACAAAAACCTAGCCAGGTCAATATTGGAAGATCCCAGTAAGGTAAATAATTTAGAAAAAAGCTCAGCCATAGCTATGCATGCGATTACACACAACCACACAATAGGATAGGACAAGGTGAAAATCATTAAAACTAACATAACAGAGTGAAAGGAGAGGTTGATAACTGAATCTTTGTTTATCGAATCAACACCTAACACATACAGCAGCAGGAGTGACTCAGCACCTGTTCCGGACTTATGGAAAATCTTACTGCCCATCTCACAAAGGGGAGAGGAAATTAGAACTATGTAAAGGATATCTCAAAGTTGTGTATTGTATTATCTTGATATGACTATGGATAATGAATTATGTCCTAAACGTAATCCAGTAATGTTTACTTACTGTTACACTGTGTAATAAATCAATAAAAATAGAATTACATTCTGCCAGAGTGCACAAGTTTTACTCTTATATTAAGAGTCTCATCATGTTTTACTTTATGCATTATTAAACTTCATCACTGTCTAACTGTGATTTCTAACGACATCTCATCATCGTTTCAACCCCCTCTAACTAGGATTGTAATTAAACTGTCACTTTTCATCAGCAAATCAAATTCGGTATTAATTTAGTCGCTACCTATCACTTCTATAATTACTGTTTTCATTGGCAAATTCATTTAGCATTTAAAACAAGCAGCAGACGTAATTAAAACAGGATTTATTGAGCTCATAAATTTCAGTAGGACTAATCATACATAAATGATTTTATATACTCTTCTACAATAAAGGAATATACACATATACATACATAATACAGACTAAACCATTAACTGAGATATAGCATCACAGAGTGAATCATTTACTTATGTCAAACAGAACTAAGATTAGGTTGAGAAGACGTAACGAATTGTTCTGTTTGAAATAATGTAATCCATACCTAATCTTTTTATTTTTCATTAACAATATGTTACAACTATCTATCTCAGATAGTTAAAGTGATAATCAAAATGATGCTCCCCTCCCTAGATTTAGATTAGGATGAGAAGTCTTAACTAGGCAGCCAATGTGAATACAATCAAGCGGTAATAATGCATCACGAATTCACATGGTCAGCATTCGGACAATTTAGCTCAGTTGATAGAGCATCTGACCGGAAACCCGATGGTCGCTGGTTTTTATCCAGCCCTGGTCCAAATTTCCATTTCACCTTCAATCATCACCCAGTATAAATACTAGTCTACTAAACCACGGCTATCTATCTCAGAAAGTCAAAATGATAATTCGATATCAGTAAATGATTCACTCTGTATTGCCATACCTCAGTCAATGTTTTAGTTTGTATTGTGTTTGTATGTATTTCTTTGTTGGAGAACAGTATATAAAATCATGTATGTAGAGTAAAAAGCTGACGAGTCCTACTGAAATTTAAGAATTCAATAGATCTTGTTTTAATTATGTCTGTTGCTTGTTTTAAATTTGTATCAAGAAACAGATGTTTTCATATAGCATTAATATTTCAAATACTTGACTACTTTCCTTCTGTTTAATAAAACAATTATATTAGACAAATTATCGTTATTTGAATAGTTTGTAAATATTCTCTAATTTTGGTTAAGTCATGTAATTTCCAACTTATTATCTTACTACAGTATTTGAAGTGTATAATGGTGAAAAGACTTAATTACTAATAAATCTTAACAGTGAAATGAATGTGGTCATTTAATTGCTGTTTCTTAAGACATCGCTGTGTACTTCTACATATCATTCATACCATATTAAGTACACACTAAGAACTAAAGAAGATAGGCCGTCAAATACTCAACTCGTTACCAACACAGAAATCTGAAAATATACTTTATTCCCATATCGAAATGAGTTAAATGCTAAAACATATCAAAATTGGTATCATTGATAACAAAGAAGATTAGTTATTATTTTTATCTACATTTTTTAGGATAACAAAGAGTTAACAGTCACTATGAATCCAGATGAAGAAATTAGTTTGGATGGTTTCTTTCAAATGGCCGGAATGGATTCATCACAATTAGAGGCCTTATATTGTCCATTATCACCAGTAGCAGTGTGTGCACCAGATGAAGGTCATATTAATATATCTGAGAAAAATTCACCATTCATCAATCAACTTCAATCAACTGATACAGAGGAAACAATTAATCATATCAAGGCACGATATGAAGCAGAAATATCAAATTATAAAAAAAAGTTATCAAGTTATCAAGATGGACAACAAAAACAAGCACAACTTATACAGAAGTTACAGGCAAAGGTTAGTATATTAATTACATAAATATACACCAAAAGTGACTGACAGAATAAAAACAATGAAGTTAAATTGGGGTAAAAATAAATAGTGGTCAAATGAAAGCATTTTCTAAGTTAAGATTCCATAGTATTTATATAGATGAAGCTTACCCAGATTACAATGGGATTAGATTATGTAATTGCTTTTAAGATAATTATTTTTCGTTTTGAGAAGTTGAAAAAAGTTGTAGTGAGAGATCTATTCCATGAGATTCTTGTCTTGAGAATAATTTCATTTTTGTAGTCAATCTCATTCATTCTAATCACAATAGTAAATTAATATAAATTGAAAAACAAAAAGAGGTTACTTTGAAGATAATTGATGTTTCGATGATTCAGTTTCACAGGGGTGTACATTACGAAACATATAGGTAAAATAATGGGATGTTCTGGAGAAGTTTCTGGCTATATGTCAAACTTAATCAATAAGTGTATATAAGGAATGAATGAAATGATACTATGTAATAAAAAGTTTGACCAAAACCGTTCAAAAGAGGTGAGGATTAGACACTTATGTATAGCTGAAGCTTTGGTAATTCACAGCCTCAAAAATTTAACAGTCTATCCAAAAGAAATATGTACCTGCACTTTCTTTACCATGACCTTGATCAGGTACTCTGCACTACTGTTTATATTTTATTTTCTATTTCATTTATTTATTTATCTTTTATTATAGTTTTATTGATTTATTTTAGCAGGTACCAAATCTTACCATTCACTGTGTTTTATAAAACTAATGGGATTATATCTTATGTTACGTAATATCATTTTATTTCCTAAAGATTGATTAAGATTGATTATCTACCTTTATCTAACCTCTCTTTGTTTTCCAATGATCAAACGGGGATTTTTTTCGTAAATCAAACAGTGTAAATATTTTGAGGGTTCCAATATACTAGATTTAGCTCTCTATATCAAGTATGAAATGGGAGATATCTGCACTGAATACGATTCAGTTACAAACAAGAAAGAACATAGGAATGAAAATGGTTAAAAAGTTTGTTAGAAAGAACATCCTTTGGAACTTTTTGGTACATAAATGAAAATTATATAGGATCCTTTTCGGAAAACCAAATATTCTGGTGGAATACTGATAATAAGACCATTATGAACTGACTTTCTGTTTCCAACTTATCTTAAATCGATTTGGATTAGGATGAGAAGATTGAGGATTGGAACTAATAAGTTGTTAAAAAAGTAGATAGGTTGCTATATTCATTTTGAGTAGCCAAAATAAGATTTATTTCATCAGAACAGCATCATAGTCGAAAATCAGATCAACAGTAACCACCATTTCGGTGTCAGATGTTTGAGTTTAATCCTGAAGAAGTCCTAAACCTAGGTTTCATGCTTCTTGGTACTCATCAACCGAAGGCATCGGTAAAGAAAAGGAAAGTGATGTTCCCTTGGCGGTTTGAACCTTTGTCACTCAGTGCACAAGACAAAAACTTAACCACTGAGCTGTTCAGACCATGAATGACTGCCTATATGACTGGATTATGCACACGAATCATTCACCAATGGGTAACCAATGAAGCTGTCTATTCCTAAGTTCTTTCCATTGATGTCGAATCTATCATTCTCTTTCTTGCTGATAAATATGAAACAGAAGTATTTAAATGCATTTCGAAGCTCTAGGTTATAAGAGTGAGTAAGCGTTCCTTAACCAACTAGTGTTTAGACCACACTACTCTTGTTTAGGTTTCGAAAGTCAGATGATATCACTTGGCTTCGAACAAGAGGTATAACACATGTGTGAGTAGTCTTAACTGGATTTGCTTTCCATGTTTTATTTAGATTAGACATTATGGTTTAGAACTAAATCAATATTGACCGTTATACATAAATTTAGTTCTTCCAAAGGATTCTACTGAAACGTTCAAAAATCAACAAAAGTTAGTAAATAGCACTTACATACTTCCAGGAAAGTAAATGGTTTCGCAAATACTGAATGGGATAACCTAAATCTGGGTAAGAAAATTTCTCATCAGTCACAAAAACTGATTTTTCGAAACTAACTTCAATCCTACGTTTTTAGCATATAAACATCATTCGGCAAAGCAACCGGTTCAGTTTGTTAAATATTACTTATTGTATAAACGATTCCAAAGTCAAGGTCTAACATGAATTCAGAATGTAAACCCAAATTTCTCTTTTTCCGTTTTAAAGATAGCTCATCAGTACTACTATTTCTACTATTCCCTAAAAAAAAAATTATTCTACATATGTTACCAGGTAATGCAGTATAAAAAGCGCAGTTCTGATTTGGAATTTGAAGTTGAACAACTGAAAGCAGAACTTGAAACATCTAATAAAGTGGTGAGCTAAGAAATTCGTGACTACTGATGCATGAGGAATGCGTACTGTTCAGTGTTGTATAATTGATCTAAGTGACTGTTGTCTTTCAGTGTTGTCTAAATTTATCTTATCTACAAAGTTTTAATAATTATTTTTACCGAATATTTCTAATGATAAAAGTCTTTAAAAAACAACATTTCGAATATCATATCAGAATTGTCTTTTAATGAGAATTTTCAGTTGAAATATTTATTCAACTTAATTTCATCATCAAACTACTTTTGTGTTCAGTGAAACAATACTCGTTCAACCACTTTCACTGTCGTTCTAAAAAGACAATAGCTTTCTATGTGTTTATATGTTGTTCACCAACAGAACTGACCTCGGCAAGTTCACAAAAGGTGACACATTATTCTTTAACTGTAAACAATTCCTGGAACAGTATTCACATAGTGAATGTGAGGGAAACGTCTTCATTAACATTACAGACTATACGCCAGCTACTGAAGTTAAAGTTTTTATCTACTTATTATTATTATTATTATTTTATCCTTGGGTTCCTAGTGGAACATAGGGTTTCAGTTGCACGCCATCAATCCATTCTCTTCTCTACAGTCTTTCCAACCTCGCTCCACGATTGCCCACAATCTTTCATTTCCTTCTCACATAATCTTCTCCATGTCACCCTCGCCTCGCACGCCGGACTTGTCGTTTCTCCTTTGGACTCCACTCGAGAGCCTGGCACGTGATGTCCCCAGTCGGCCTTCTTAGTGTATGCCCAATCCAATCCATCTCCACTTCCTTCCTCTGCATATTTGTTGAGTGATGGATTCTTGGTTGGTTCGTTCCCAGAGTGAGTTCTTCGTTGCTTATTCTAATAATTCTGGCCATCTGACCTTCAGTATCGAACAAGCGAAAATGGCAGTTGTTGATGAATATCTGTAGTTTTTTTGAAGTGCTTCTGATGACAAGCCGAGTTTCTGAACCATATAGCAGCACTGACTTCACTGGCATTGGTGTTGAAAATCTGGATCTTGTTCTTTGTGCTGAGTGCAGTAGATCTGCACACCACAGTTTACTTAGCCTACCTTTTCTTTCATTATTTAACTGGAATTACTTAAAGTTTCAATGAATCAGCTCATGTAGATGATGAGATGGTAGAACTTTGTGAGCCGTTTCTAATGAGTAATTTATCTGAAAATGAAGCTTCGGTATTTTCAAGAAAATAATGTCATCTATTTACGTTTTATACTCATCAGACTTTAAAAATTCACCACTATCTTCACTTACTTTTACGTTTTCATGCTTCTAGTGTCTTCGTTCACAAGCGGGTTACTACTTTTACCTAATCCAATGTCAAATTCAGGGTTAGAAAGGCTTAAATAAGGAATTTATTACTTCATAAACCTATCAATAAGACATGTATGCCTTTCATGTTCACCTATAAACATACTTGCTTCAGCGGTTCCTCAAAGTACTGCAGAATGTCCTATAAAAGATGGTAGACATATAGACCATTAGAATATTGTTACTGTCTTTGGGGAAATCATTGAGTATCTCTCATACTTGCGTCATATGTGATCAGCTGTTCAGTTACAGAAGTCCTTGGCTGATTTACTCTCAAAATATAAAGGATTATTAATTGAATAGCTTGTCAATATTTGTTCTTAACGAAGAACGGTTGGTCATCGGTACTAAAAATTGGCTTCTATACTCAAAATAATGTAGTGATTTATGTTTTTCCTACTTGTTTTTGTGCAGTGGTGTAGTTGTAAGCTTGTGAACATAGACTGTAATAACCAACACAAAGGGTTCTTTTATAAAGTACTGGTTTTTGAAAAGTAACTAACACAAAAATTGCTTTATATTTACCATTCTGTTGTTAATCATCATGTATAGCTACAAGTAAATCTGTGGTCACTCTATTGGAACAATTCACTCGGAAACGTATTATATAAAATATTAATTATTAAGTTCTGCGAGAAAATAATTGGCCTAAAGGTCGAATATGTGACAAAAATTTATTATTTGTTCCATTTAGAACGCAATAGGATATCATAAGTTGGCAATCTTAAAGATAAAGTACTACATTCGGTTCTCGGTGTCAGGATAAACACTGAAATGTGAGCATTGCCAACCTACAAATCTCAGATACGATATAATGCACAGACTTATGAATATCTGATAGCCTTTACCATGTATTTTTTCTCACTTAAACAAACGTTTAGGAATATTAGAGGAAATAATTATTTCAACGTGTACTTTTGAACTTTTATTCTATTATTATTATCATCATCATCATCATATCATGTACTGCTTTATATTACTTGTCATTACTTTTGAGGCGAAACGCGTAAATACAATTTCTATATTCCAGTTATCAAAGTATGGATATTTTTCCAAACTAATTCAGCCTTTAGAAGTCAGAATGCAATTAAAGATCATATTTTCAACCTTTGCAGCATTTAAATTACTTTCAAAAAGTAGTTTATTCAATATTGGCACCCAAATTTTTGAAAATATCAGTCATCACTAATTCATGTCCTGTAAATGATAAACAATTTTTCTCTTCTTCTTTTCTAACAGCTTCAAACCACCACAGAGACATTAAATGCTCGTATTGATGTAGCTGAAACAAGAGCAAGAGCATTAGAACAGGAACGTTCGTTTGATATTGAAAACACTGTAAATAAATTACATGAAGAACAGCAAAGGTGAGTAAGGAAAATCATATACACATCGAAGCGAATAATTTTATATATCCCATTACTTCTGAGTAATAAAAATGTTTAGATAACAAAACTAGTGATAATTTTGGTTGGTTGTAGCTAGCAGAAGAATCTAGGATGCCACAACCAACCGAAATTATCATAATTAACATTCAGGCAATATCGAGGTATCCGCATAGGGGCCCATATGCCAACATAGGTCGAACAATTCGATCCAACAAAACAACGGAGAATAACAAGTATGTCAATAAATAGTAATAACTAGTACCCGTTGTACAAGAAGTGGCTATCATTCCTCTGTGGCATAGTGGATAACGCCTTGGCGTTTGAAGCGATGGGTGCGAGGTTCTAGTTTCAGTGGGAACAACATCACTGGGGTGCAGGTGAATCCAGCTGATGAGTCCTAAATAGGACGAAATGCGCTTCATGGATTCTTCTACTAGCCATAACCGACCGAAATTATCATAATTAACATTCGGACAGTATCGAAGCATCCGCAAAGGGGCTCAAACAATTCGATCGAACAAAACAACGGAGAATAACAAGTATGTCAATAAATGTTAATAACAAAAAACTAGTGATTCAGAAAATCAGTCGGTCCGTAAATAGTGTACTTGAGAACATTCATTAGTAATAGATTAGGACTAATTTCAGCTGTCCAGCTGTAATATTTATTAATCGTACAAGCAATGAAAAGATGAAATACTATGTCAAAAAGCCAAGTCAGTGAATAAAACAACTTGGTGTATTCTGGAATTATACAATTATCTCCACAAAAATCTTCTTTGCGTGCTTTTAATATGTGATGTTTTATGATATCAGAAAAAATGCTTCCGAATAATAACCACACTTAGATGAAATTTCGTTGTTAAGTTCTCAAAAGCTCATCAGCTTCAGTGCAACACTTATCATCTTATTTAGCTTAAAGATAATGTTTGATTAAAATAATATAAGAGTCTTGTAATGATATCTGACTAATCATGTATGCTGTTGTGCTGAACGATATATTTTTGATATCATACAACTTTGTGATGACTAACATAGACTTTTTAAACCGAAGTAACAACAATTGACGTTATTTTTTCCACTGATTTCTCAGGAAAACTTCTAGATGGACTGGTTACTCCTATTAATTCTAAACAATAACAAAACTTAGAACCTACCAACCATCTTCGGAATGCGTTTCTTATTAGTCAAATGTAAGAATGATATGTTGTAGTACATCGTTCAAAAATGTTGACACAAGCTATCGCATATACTGACCTCTTTGCTTATCTCAAAGTTTTATCCTGCATTACTGGGATATTAATATAGGAGTAAAACTTGGGCACTGTGATAGATTGTAATTTCATTTTAGTCTGTTTAGTGAAACAGTATCATTTATTGGATAACGTTTCGGACATACTTTACTGTCCATATTCATATCAGGTAACTCCACAACTTTGGGATATCCTTTATATACCCCTAATTTTCTCTCCTCTGTTATGACAAGGGTAGTAGAATTTTCCATAGATTTTGGACAGGTGAAGAATCATTCCTACCACTGCATGTATTTGGCGTTGATTTGATAAACAAAGACTCGATCATCAATCTCTCCCTCCACCCAACTAAGTTAGTTTTTAACACTGTCGCTTTATCTCACCCTTCTGTTTGATTGTGTATAATTACTTGCAGAGATATAGCCGAGCTTTTCTCCAGATTTCTTGTCTTATTAGGATCCACTAACCTTGATTTAGCAGTTTTTATACTCTCTTATTCTTATCGACCCTAGTCGACTACTTTGACTATCTATTTGACTTGAGTATAACTCCAAGTTGCTACGTCGAAATGCTTAAAACCAAGTGGTAATTCAATTTCGCATCTACATATATATAATCCTTGTGCACATAATTTAGCAACTTGCTGTTTAAAATGAAATTTTTCTATGTATTCAAAGTTAGTGCATATTATATTCTATCTTACTGCACTAATATTTAATCACACTCTCCTATACATTGTCGTGCAATGAATATAACATACTGTAAAATAGGTAAGCAATTTTTGTTTGATTTTCGCTCTCCGATGCTTTTATAGTAATAAAATACTGTCAGTTTCTATTACTTATAAAAGTAGGTCGATGTATGAGTATGCATATTCTAATATCTTTTGAATAGATCAAATGAATTGTCCCGTGCGAATGAATTACTCCGTGATCAATTAGAACAAGCTGTACAAGCTAATCAAGGTTTAAGTCAAGATGTAGCACGTTTAACTTTAGCATGGAGACATGCAGCACAACAATTAGATAAACGTGAATCAGAATGGCGTGAAGAAGAAAGTGCATTTAATGATTATTTCGCTGCTGAACACAATCGTTTATTATCCCTATGGAGAGCTGTAGTCGCCCTTCGACGTCAATTTGCCGATTTAAGACAACAAACTGATAAAGATTTGACTAATGTAAGTTATACTGAGTTTGGAAAAGAAAATCTCCCTACTAGTTAAAAGTGAACCATTTTTGTTTTTAGAATATGATAAAATTACAATGTTATTGCGTTTGTTAATTTCAAATCATGAGATATACATATATCTGGCATACGTTCAGTCTTTTTATAATGTTTAACCTTCATTTTGAAACCTTTTACCTATCATTAAAGTGAAATAGTGAAATGAACACCAAGATGTAATTGTTATAAAAGCGTACATTATACTGTATTGGCATTTCCAGTTGAAACGCTTGAAATGATCCTTCTCAGCAGTAGAATTTCAGCCTTTTAGTCTCAGTCTCAAATGTTCTCAACTTCATCGATTGTGAAAAGACCTTCGAGATCGTCAGCTGAGAAGTAATTTGGCAGCTGCTGCTTCAACACTACCGAATACCAAAAACCTTTATCAACCTCATTCGACAGCTATATGCTACACTATATGATGCTACATGCCAAGCAATTCACAGCCGAAAGCTCAGTGATACCATTGAAGTGAAGACAGGAGTAAGAAAAGGTTACATACCATCACCGATCATCTTCCTGATTGTGGTCGACTCGACTGGATCATACAACAAACTGTGAGGAGCGAGAAGAGGCGCATACGCTGTCTGGACCGATGAAAAGACCCCAGAAGAAGATTTCGATTTTGTCGATGATGATTTATGTCTAGTGTCTTGTCGCACAAACTCGAAGACCTAGAGACGGAAACTAACAAATTGGCAGAAGAGGCGGGGCGGGGCGGGGCAGGGCAGGGCAGCGAAGACGGGACTTTCTTCAGGTGAACGTAGAGAAGAGAGAGGTGATGAAGATATCCAACCGACCAGCCAACCAACCAACCAACAACAACAACAAGCAGCAATCAGCATAAACGGAAGGAATCTACACGAAGTAGTCTCCTTCACCTCTCCTCCTACCTACCTACCTAACTACCTACCTACCTACCTAGGCAGCATCGTCTCAACTACAGGCACAGATGAGTACGTGAAAGCCAGGATCGGAAAGACAGCAAGACAGGCGTTCCTGGATTGATGTGAAACCAGTGTGGAGATCTACTGCACCTCACTGCACTCCACTCGGCTTAAAGCATGACCAAGATCCGGATTCTCAACATTAATTCAATCAATTTAGTGATTGAGAGATTTGGCGCTTTATGAAAAGCATTTCCAACAAACTAAAGACATCCATCAACAACTGCTGCCTACACTTGCTCGATACTGAAGATCAGGTGGCCAGAATAACTGGAATAAGCAAGAAGGCACTCTGGCTGGCTGTCAACGAACCAATCAACAACCTATCGCTCAATAAATATGCAGATGAAGAAAGTGGAGATGGATTGGATTGGGCATATACTGAGAAGACCTATTGGGGAAATCAGGCGCCAGGTCAGGCCGTCGATTGGAACCGAAATGGAAAACGACGAGTTGGGCGTCTGAGGCAAGGATGATATGGAGGAGATGGTGTGAGGACGAAATGAAAGTTTGTGGGCTGTGGTGGAGCGAGGTTGAAAAGACTGCAGAGAAGAGAGTGCAATGGCGATGTGCAACTAAATCCCTATGCTCCACTAGGAACCCAAGGGACAAATAATAATAAAAATAAGCAAATGTTCTCTGCCTTATTTGTCTTTCTGCTACTGTTGACAAGGTGGTTTAGATATGCGTGACACATTGATAGATGTCCACCTATCCATAGATCATTCATACAGGGGTGAACAAAAGAAAGAAATTTATCCTGGAAATTTGGTGGTAGACTAATTATCTTCTAGAAGAATCCTTTTCACAGCTGACATGAAACATAAAATAAGAGGAAGGCAAGGAGTACTGAAAAACCGTTTCATCCTAGTAGGAAACTTCGCAGCACTGAATCATGAAAACGTTTGAAAACAATAATGTTTAGTTTGGTATGAAAATACTTTATCCAGTATTATAAATTAATCACCAAAAATTAATAACCAGAATGTTTACACTTTTATCAGTAGTTTATGAGCACCTTCAACTCACAGTAGCTTGAAAGTAAAGTAATAGTTTTTACTGCAAACAAACTGGCTATCCTATGTTTTTATTTCATTTCTGACTACAGTTTAGAGAGAAAGTTAGGCTGTTTATTTATGATTCCATTCCCGTTAGCTATGACTTGTTTGAAAAGATCATGTATAGAATGCCATGATAGTTGCTTCAAAGTTAAACCTGTAAAATATTTGAAATCACTACAATTACGAACCCTGATAAAAATTTTCTTGAAGTAAACTGAAGATTACATCATGTCTATTTTCCTAAACGTCACCAATAAAACACTTAGCAAATTAAGGATCTTCTCTGCCAGAATATCATGAAAGGCAATCAGAAAGCTAAACGGATGAAAAACCTTAGGAATTCTTATAAACTTTTAGAAGCGTTCTGTAAAACAATGATTATATCACCAATTTGTTTGATTAATAAAACTACGAAGTAAACGACCCTCACCATAGGAGAAGATTTTATTCGTGCTCCAGAATACTGCTGTATTGTTGACCAACATAATGTTTCTTCATGTGACATAGACCGGTACAGTGGCTGGAAAGATGGGTTCATCTTATTTCTTATACATATAGGCACCATTTACACAATGTAGACAGCTCACCTGAATACGCATGAAATACCTTTCATTTAAGGCGATTTAAGCAGTATGCTATATATATATAATACTGTAATAAAACCTGAGTCATGACAAGAAAGACTTTTGGTGATATAAATGAAATCAGGAACTGGTAGGTAGCTGGGTGTCATAGCTAAGTTAGTACACCACCAAGACAGTAATCAGAAGGCCGATGGTTTTAATTCTGCGGCGACTTAAATTTACAATTTACCCTCATTCGTCATCGTACATATGTGATAAAACAAATATGACATACTTAATGGCTATTTGACTGTTACACGGGAAAAGATTAAGCTTGAGGTCGTGGATAACTGTTAGTTTAAATATAATCAGGTAAGTAGAATTTGAGTGAAACAACTATCTGCTGACTATTATTAAACATTCAATAAAGTTTTCGAAACCGTTTATAACCGATGCAGATTTTGAGGGAGTTGTGGAGATTTGGAATTATTTCAAGTTGTTATTAATCGTAGACTGACATCAGTTGGAGGAACAAAGGAAACCTGGGAGCACTGGACAGCTGTTTCGTCCTAGTATGGGACTCCTCAGCAGTGCGCACCTACGACCCCACCGGCAGGGATCGAACCCGCTACCTTCAGGTTCCGCGACCAGCGCGTTACCATTGAGCCACTGGGTCAGAATCCAATGCTCCATATTTCCAACTTCTGAAGGTCGCGGGTTCGATCCCTGCTGGTGGGGTCGTGGGTGCACACTGCTGAGGAGTCCCATACTAGGACGAAACAGCTGTCCAGTGCTCCCAGGTTTCCTTTGTTCCTCCAACTGATGTCAGTCTGCGATGAGTAACAACTTGAAATGATGCAGATTTATTGTTCATTAGCTACTGGAACAATTTAACCCTCTTGTAAAACGGATATTTTCTGATAAATTGTAGTCTCACTTTCATTTAACACATATATATATATATATATCTTGTTCCTCAAACACTATTACTTGGTACAGTGAATTACAGAAGATGAAACTATTGGGAAAGTAGAAAGGAATGTCGATAAAAGATACCTATCAATTGATTCTACACTATTCCAGCTATAATCGGTTAATATATTGCATTCCATTAGATGTCGACTTCCTTTAACATCAATAATAATAGGACTTCGCGATAGTTGAATCTTTTGAAAATGCCTGCTGCATATATCATTCTTTGGCCACATAGAAACTTTCATATAACATCACTCATTTTCAAAACGTTGCATAGAAAAGACCCTAGGCTGTTCATTTTTTGTGTTAATAATATTCCTCCAGAAGTAAAAACCTAACTTGGTATTATGCTTGAAATATATTATATACTTCAGTTTTGAAAAAAATTATGAATTCGTGTTAAATGGAAGCATATAACCCAGCAGATGTCTTTATCTACCCTTTCGTAGATTTTATCCGGTCTAAATGATCGATTTTTTGCTGATGAATCCTCTGTGATGACGTCCAGATACTGTTGTTAGTCATCCCATGGTAGCATTTAACTGTGATATCAAGTATTAGATTCGAAAGGCGATATTTCATTCCCTGTTAGTAACAAACTTCAGGTCCTAGCCTGAATAAATACTAAGATAAATGTACAAGAAAATATATAAAGCACATAGTACAAACAATGATATATGAGGATTTTCGAAAAGAAAACTTGAATTCTGAAGACTGTAATGAACATTACAAACTTTGAAATTCATTTCATTCCTAAGATGCTGTTGATTTCAATATTTCCAAGATTCATGCATTTCTTGTTTCATTTCAAAATCAACGTAATGCTTGGTACCTGTTTTATACACTATATAAAATATATTACACGCTATGTTACATGGAAACAAAAATTTTCATCAACACTAGTCTCCTTCAATTGTCATAATAAGTCATCGATTAAGACTTCTAGAATTTAGCAACAGCAGAATGGAGATGATATTGTATTCACTAGTTGCTTTGTCTTTTCCTAAGCGCTGACCGAATTCTGTCTACCATTGTGCAAACTGACTACAAAACTTAACAGGCTCACCATCACCATGTACTTCGGTTGGCATTAGGTGGTTGTAGACAATCGGAAGGAGGCTGAATTTGTTACTTGGTGGATCTGATATCTCATTAAACAATCCTAAACGTGTCTCCCAATGCTGCAGATAGAAATGTTATCACTGAGTTATTCCAACCAGGACTTAATAAGATGCATTGATCAGTTATTAGACAGTAACCAAGTCCATATTGTTTAGTTCTAAGACATGAGGTCAGTCACAGCCTAAATAACTCAAGGGTAAAGTCTCTAACTGTAACACTGAGTGAAGGATATTGGAATCTGTGAAGAGAAATCAGTTCCATCAAGGTTTTAGACGACTGTGGAAAAGCATGTGACTTTACATTAATTGGGTCTTCCCAGAGACTCACCTCCAACTACCTAACACTAACGAAAGACAACAGTAGTTTGATATCCTTTAAGCCTTAGCTAACGGTAGGAAAATTTCATGGCTAGTTAGCATAAATGACTGGGCCGACTTCATCAAATACTGAATAACTGTTGTTACTTTAATGTCATAAATAAATCCAGGTTAACAATACTGGAGCGACCCTCTTATGACCTAGATATTTTCTTTCAGTCATGAAGAGATCACATAGTTCCCTGGTGATGCCAATCATCATATGTAAACAACACGCTAGTCAGTTTCCATATTTATAGATTTATTTTGTCATTCTCCGCAGTCATTTTAAGATGGGAACAGAAATTATGTAATGATCTGAAATATGAGCAAAAACAATATTAGGCAACTAAATTCAAATGTTTAGAAGTTATCGCCTGAAGTTACCTTATCTGAACATACTAATCCCTTAACTGTTCAATTATCTATCCCTTTTAGTAGTATAATGATTGATATACAGTTTTCCCACCAGATTTAAGCTTCATATACACATGAAAAGAACTGATAATGTATAGGATCAGAATTTAACTTCCCATTTTTTCATCGTTCACTTTCAATAATTATTTTCTGCAGGTTAAAATACTCTACTTGTTTATCTAAACAGAATTTTAAAAGTACATATTACTATTTTTTTTGTCTGAGAATTTAACTAAAGAATAGTAGTTGTTGATGTGAATTCTCCTATCATGAGTTCGACTTTTCATTATCTTGATAGTCAATTCCTATTGCTAATGGATACCGAAAATAAGATAAATATCACTAGTGTTTATAGATATCGGAACGAAGTTGGGATACAGTATATATGTATCCTCTGTAATCATCGAATCTGAAGTCTGCATAGTCAAAATACTGAAATTATTCATAAAGTCTTAGGTGTTAATACTCTTTAATATTCTCACTATCTTATTCTTGCAGCATAACATAACTCTCACATGTTCCTATGTGAACAAATACCCAATAGTACAGTAAAACTCTAATTTTATCGAGAAGGAATTAGAAACATTGGTCACCATTTGTTAAAACTGATTACATCTGATACTCTTGAATCACTTGTGTTTGTTAATTACCTGAGAACTAACAAGATTATACTACTAAGTTTAATTTTCATAATGTTTTCGTGTTAGACAGATAAATGTTTTGTAAAAATCAATTATCAATCGGAAGTGAAGTAGAATTCGAGTGTGCGTAGCATAATTCAGCTTGGAATCAGTTACTCTTCAGTTAATATAAGACATTATGCGCCCAAGATCTCATATAGGATCAGAATGTTATACGATTGTTTTTATTATCATACTGAATAGCTTTATTCAACAGAGTAGCACTAAAAAAATATTCTTCAAGTAATTTACATTAGAAAGCGATTCAATGCATATCTTTTATCATTGTCTCTTCTCTTATTTAACTTACAGACTCGTACAGAATTTAGTCGATATATAGGCAATATTCAGTCAGCATGTAATAATTTAGAAGCAAATCTTCGTGCAGCTGAAGTACAGAATCAAGCAAGTCAAGCGAAAACAGCTAATTTTCTTGAATCAGATATGACAAATCGTATACAAGGTTTAACTGAATCCCTAGCACGTAGTCAAGCTCGTTTAACTGAAGCAGAAACCAAGTTAACTGAAGCTATGACAGCAAAAGAAAGGCTTGCAATACAGGTATGGTTTTTAAAATCATAAATTAACACAAATATAAACCACTGACTTGTATGAATCAAAATATAATCATACCACAGTTGTGAGAGAAGCTCAGTGATGCTTTTAAAGTGAAGACAGGAGTGAAACAAGGTTGCCTACTATCCCCCATGATATTCCTGATTGTGGTGGACTGGATCATGCAGCAAACAGTGGGGAGCGAGAAGAGGGGGATACGCTGGCTGGACTGCGGAAAAGAACCTAGAAGACTTGGATTTCGCCGACGACTTGTGTCTAGTGTCACACAAACTTGAAGATCTACAGGCAAAAACTAACAAGTTGACAGAAGAGGCAAGGCAGCGAAGACGGGACTTCAGGTGAATATAGAGAAGACAGAGGTGATGAAGATACCGCACAAACAACTCCAACAACAGCAACAAACTCCAGTCACCATCAATGGGAGAAACTTAAAAGAAGTAACCTCCTTCACCTATCTAGGCAGCACTGTTTCAACTACAGGCAACACAGGCACAGACGAGGATGTCAAAGTCAGAATCGGAAAAGCAAGATAGGCGTTCATTAGCCTGAAACCAATGTGAAGATCTTTTGCACTCAGCATGTGGAACAGCATCCAAATTTTCAACACCAACGTCAAGTCAGTGCTTCTGTATGGTTCAGAGACTTGGCGCGTTGCGAAAAGCATTTCCAACAAACTACAGATATTCATCAACAACTGCATACGCTGGCTCGTTACTGAAGATCAGATGGCCAGAAAGAATCAACAACAAGGAACTCTGGGAACGAACCAACCAAGAACCTATCACCCAACAAATATGCAGAGGAAGGAGGTGGAGATGGATTGGGCATACATTGAGAAGGCCGATTGGTGACATCACGCGCCAGGCCAGGCACTCGAGTGGAACCCCGATGGGAAGCGACGAGTTGGGTGTCCGAGGTGAGGGTGACATGGAGGAGGAAATGAGAGCTTTTGGGCTGTCGTGGAATCAGGTTCAAAAGATCTTAGAGAACAGAGTTCACTGGAGACTTGCTAGTGAAGCCCTATGTTCCATTAGGAACCCAAGGGACTAATAATAATAATACAGTTGTGAGACACATTCAAAATTCAATCAGTCCTGCGAAATACACGTAGGCATTGAGCATTTTCGAATGATGAATCAAATGTCTCATTCTTCACATCTTTCATAAAGAACATAATTGGTGACAATAACACATCATTTCCTGAAATTGTGTTGACTGAAATCAGAAAACTTTGCTTATTGGCATACAGTTCAGATGCTCAGTAGTATTGAGCTCATAACAATACCAAATAGTGATATACTGAGTATACTGAGTAGATTTTATCTATGATTCTTAAAGTACTATGTAAAAGCTGCTACGTACTTCTTACTCTTACATCATTCTTTGAAAAATGTAAGTTAATGGTGATTTACTTGATTGTGGCTAGCAGAAGAATCCAGGATGCACATCTCGTCTTATTTGGGACTCGTCAGTCAAATGTACCTGCACCCCAATGAGTGATGTTGTTCCCACTGAGACTCGGACCTCATGCCCATCGCTCCAAATGCAAAGACGTTATCGACTAGGCCGTGAAGGAACGATAGCAACCCTTTGTAATATGAGTATTAGTTATTAATATTCATGGGTTTGCTTGTAATTCTCCGTTGTTTTACTGGATCGGATTGTTCGACCTCTATTGGCATATGGTCTCCTATATGGATGCCTGCATATCACCTGAATATTAATTATGGTAATTTACTTGGTTGTATCTATCAGGGGAATCCAGTACACGGGTTTCTCAGTGACTGGGGTGCAGGTACATCCGGCTGACGAATCCAAAATAGGACGAAACATGCGTGCTGAATTCCTCTGCTACCCACAACCAAATAAATTACCATAATTAATATCCAGGCAATATCAAGGCAACTGCATAGTAGGCCATATGCCAACAGAGGTTAAACAATTCGATCCAGTAAAACAACGAAGAATATAAAAGCATATAAATGAATAGTAATGTAAGTTAATAATAAAAGCTTTGAAATGAGTCGTTTGACCAAAACTACCTGAATGACTTTAATTCTTTGTTCATATCATTGCTTGTCATTATAAACAGAAAACAATAACGATTATTTATTGAAATCCAGAAAGAAAATAAAGTGTATATAATCTTATCATAAAATTTTTAAAGGCTGATCACTCTAATGAGTAGATTTTTTATTCAAAATTAAATCATCTTGACTAATTTACCAAGTAATTTATTAGTTTATTATTTCATTTATTCATCTTTGATATTTATCATTCAAAAAAGCTTGCTGAAAGGGATCGAATACTTACTACAATGAAACAGTTACACTCTAACTATGAAGTCAATTCACAGTCAAGAAGAAGTTCTAATACATTTAAACGGGGTAAACGCATTCATGATGTATTAGATAAAGTTATTGATAATGGAAAACAAAGAGATGGTCTGTCTGAACTTGAACCAAGTACTGATGATGAAGATGATCATTTAAAAGCAACAAAACGCCTAATTGAACATACACATGTTATGCATCATGCTTTGAGTCAAATAGCACAGGTAATAATTGAATGAGAACTAATTTACTTTAACAATTAAGTTTTATAGCTATTTTCTTAAGTAACTGAAAGAAATCTCCTAATATCAACCATTTACGGACTTAATATACAGAGAACTTCAAGTTGTGACGGCTTTATCAAATATCAGACGTTCCAATTCTTGTTTCTTGATATAAACTATTAATGGTAGTCAAAGTTTATAACCCGGTCGCCACTTGATATAACCTTGATTTCACTTGGTAAATTTTTCTGGTGGCTACTTAGTATAACTATATATATATATATATATATATATATATATATATATATATATATATATATATATATATATATATATATATATATATATGGACTCTTGAACAATAATCTTCAGCTTCACCCCTTTATGGTCGCTCACTTTTCTCGATGAATGGAAGATATGGGCATATAGGACAAAGTGTTTGCAACATCAAAAATATATGCAAAATATAGGGGGTTATACATACTTACAATGTGATTGGATATTTCCAGGAATTTCTATTGATTTTCTTTACTTCAACCAATCTTATACTAACATGTTGTTCTAGGTGCTTTCTCTCAAATTTCAGTGCAACATGATTGGTTGTAGAAAGCTTTAAGGTGATACGGTTTCTTATGAACATCAATCTTATTTCACACTATAATAATAAGCATATGATAGTTAAACAAATTGAAGCAAATCTATCCGAAAATAGTCTGACCTGTAATGGACATCAATTGTAGATAACTTTCTATAATTTCTTTACATCTGAGCTATTCGATTGCTCTGAAGCAATAGATCCTTAATGTTATCTGTAGTAACTTACGAAAATTACAAAATCTATTTGATATCTTGTTAATCGCGATTATTTTTACACAAAGTAGGTGTGTTCTGGTACTTATCTTACAATGACAATTTTTTTAATTTTTTTCCATCAGTCATGTTCATGTTCTACGCACCCAATATGAAAAGTTCATGCTTACATTTTAACCAAATCTGATTTCTTTATATAAATTGTGATCAAAATTTGACTGAGAAGTTTCACAAATAATGGATGCTAAATGAAAATTTGGTATCTAATGTAATTCATATTCTCTGAAATAAGAAAATTCCAACATTTCACTCAAGTATCTGATCTGAACTCCTTTAAGGATTTGAATCTACTGAGAAAGCTTTTCTCTTCATAAACGAATGAAATTGAATTAGTTAGTAAGTAGTTCAAAATAAGAGTACAAATGTACCTTTCTTATTCTTTTTCGAATGTTGTATTTGGCTAATACTTTACACTGCGAAAATACATACAATAAACAAAATATGGCTGATTACTGAAGACTAGAAAAGCATATCTTTCTCGCTTGACTGTAACTATTTGACTCATTTCAGCTACAGTGTCAACGACTCCAATATCTGCCATTACTTGGTTGAGTAAGCTTAACTTGAAGGCATAAATAATCCCAGAATGATTTTAACATTGTTAAGAAAACATCGTTTATTTATTTTTATGTTGTTGAAATTCTTGTTGCCCAGAATAAATAACAATAAACACTATCTTTACTGTTCCCTTTCAGTTAGTTATTTGGGATGCAACGATTGCTGATACTGATGAAGCACAGGATCCTATCCTTAATTTAAAAAATCCTGACTGGTCAACCACACGTGTTAATCTATATTCAGATAAATTGAAACCAGCAGTTTCTGATCCATCTGTAGATACTAAAACACAAATTGTATTGCAGAATGAAGGAGATGATATAAATCAACTGGAAAGTAAAATTCACTTTTCTAAACCAGAAGAGATTTCTTCACTTCGTCAACTAGCTCATTCAAAATATCAAGCTGGTTCAAGTTTACATCTTGCTGAATCAACAGTCAATGCTGTACAAAGTGCATTAAATAGACGTGCAACTCATGTAAGCTGAAAGAGATTCATTTATTTCTTTATTACTTTTAAATGTAAGAGAGATTACTGAGTTATTTGACATTCAGTTTGAAACAGAATATTTTTTAAGATGATCTCAGTTGAAATTTAGTTTCACCTAATTAACAATTAACAAATAATAACCATCACACACTTGAAAACAAATTTCTTGGTAATGCATACTTGTGTCTCATAAAGTTCGAACCTAAAACTCTATGATAAGAACTTTAATGGTCTCAAATAATAAACGTGCGGCTGACCACCACTTAACTAGCTTCGTGATAAAATATCTGAAGATAAACCTAAAAGACCGGAAAACACTAGACAGTTATCACACTATTGAATCCTTAGTAATATAACTTCGATTTATAGTCGAATGCAGTTCTTGTCACCAATGTTACCGCAATAACTAGCCACAGAATCCATGAAACAACTTTTAGCTAAACCAATGAGTTTAGCAACGATTTCTTGTTATTAGACCTCCTGAAGAACTTATCATCTATGTTTATGTAGGAACTACTGTGAAGGGTTTGTTGAGATTTTTCAACACCTTTTCAAGTATTTGTATATACAAGCAAACATTCGTTTTCCCAGTGTAATTTACATCGTGAATTGAAATCATCTGGAGAACCTTCAAGGGAATAGGAGCACGTCAAAAGTGTACCCTCTCAGTTCTAGTGTCCGTCAACGTCACCCACCCGTGACTGCATGAGGAATCGAGGATAAATGCCTATCGATGACCTTGGATGACGATCACACTATATCACGAATGGATAGGAAGTTGCAAATCCAAGCCATAGAGTTCCAGTCCAGGCACTAAAACATGATTATGGTTAATCAGAGTTGATTGTCCTTCAGCTTGATTACCTTTAGACCTTCATTGCTCACTACTACGGTTGTTTGATTACCCTTAGAAAATCTAAAATAAAATACCACTATACAAATGAGCGTGGATTATTTCTGGCAAAACGGGAACACGTTGACAGGCATCTTACTATCATGCTAGAAGTTAGAGAACCGTAAGAACTTGGGACAATCTGAATAACTTAATTAGAAGATGAAGTTTATATTAACAATGTGGCGTATCGGCACAATATATTCCAAAACAGCTAATCATACATTTACTCGTCAAGTCAATTTATATAAAACCGAAGAATGTGAATGCAAACAGAACAACTAAGATGATAGGAGTTTAAAAATAAGAAAGATCCAAAAGGAAAGGCGGTATATTTGATCGTAATCTTAATAGCTAAACAAAAGTTATCAAGGTAGGTCTGATGTAAGAACAAACTGTTTTTGTACACCCAACAGTGATTTCACTTTATGTGTGGCTATAGCCTCCACAAACCTCAGTCTGCATTCCCAGCTGTTTTCTATATAAAAGTATGAAAACTGTTTCGATAATCATTCTGTGACTCCTTTCCATAGGTAAAGAGGGTTGTTTGACACCTGCTCTGATAAAAGTCTCATAATCTGATTGTTTTTGAATCCATTTATTTACATGTTCGTCTTCCCTCGACCACATGACGTAATAACTCCTTCATATGTATGTTTTTCAATAAACACACACTTTTATACTGGTAAATACGATGAGACGTGATGCAATCATTTATGCAATGTTTACGTTGATGATGAAACTGGTTTTTCGTATTTTCCATCAAGCAAGCTTGGTTGCATAGTGTGTTTTACTTATGACATATCTTAATCTGAGTCACAAAATCTTCCTACTCAACTTCCCTTAGTATGGTGGAGTGATATGAACGCTTTTCTTAGGAACTGAGTCTAGAGTCGACTTTCGTGATAGTTGATAATAGTTTATAAACTTCAATGGATATCCGTTTCAAGAAAGTTTTGTGTCCAGTAATCTAACATCATCTATCATGTCTGATACTCAAATACTATTAAATAGGCATTTTATAAGACCTCCTTTTCATTGAATATGATAAGAAGAAGCATTGAATTGGCCGACATTAATGTTGAAAATTCGGATGTTGTTCACGCTTTAGGCCGAGTGGAATGCAGTGAGGTGCAGTAGATCTCCACACTGGTTTCACATCAATCCAGGAACGCCTGTCTTGCTGTCTTTCCGATCCTGGCTTTCACGTACTCATCTGTGCCTGTACCACCGTAGTCCCTGTAGTTGAGACGATGCTGCCTAGGTAGGTAGGTAGGTAGGTAGGAGGAGAGGTGAAGGAGACTACTTCGTGTAGATTTCTCCCGTTTATGCTGATTGCTGCTTGTTGTTGTTGTTGTTGGTTGGTTGGCTGGTTGGTTGGATATCTTCATCACCTCTCTCTTCTCTACGTCCACCTGAAGAAAGTCCCGTCTTCGCTGCCCTGCCCTGCCCTGCCCCGCCCCGCCCCGCCCCGCCCCGCCCCGCCTCTTCTGCCAATTTGTTAGTTTCCGTCTGTAGGTCTTCGAGTTTGTGCGACAAGACACTAGACATAAATCATCATCGACAAAATCGAAATCTTCTTCTGGGGTCTTTTCATCAGTCCAGACAGCGTATGCGCCTCTTCTCGCTCTTCACAGTTTGTTGCATGATCCAGTTGAGTCGACCACAATCAAGAAGATGATCGGTGATGGTATGTAACCTTTTCTCACTCCTGTCTTCACTTCAATGGTATCACTGAGCTTTCGGCTGTGAATTGCTTGGCATGTAGCATCATATAGTGTAGCATATAGCTGTCGAATGAGGTTGATAAAGGTTTTTGGTATTCCGTAGTGTTGAAGCAGCAGCTGCCAAATTACTTCTCAGTCGACGCTATCGAATGCTTTTTCAAAACAGATGAAGTTGAGGTGTGGTAGAGAGTTGACTGCCATTCTATGCTGTGTACTATGATGATGCGTAGCGTTACAGTTTGGTCCACATATGATTTATACTTCCTGAATCCAGCGTGTTCCGGTCACAATTTTGAATCCAGAGCATGTTTTATTCCCTCCATGGTGATGCGGCTCAAATAACTATGATGCCATCACTATATCTCTTGTAAAGGGGAACTTTACTGATAAGATCAACAGCCAGGTTTTCGATATATGAACTAGAAACGTCAAGTAGTTAATGATCCTAAAGGACATCCCATAGCTACACCATCAACTTGTCAATACTGTTCACCTTCGAATGTGAAAAGAACTTTTTTGGTAATAACAGTCCCCTCAGATAAGTGGAAGTAATAAGGAACAGAAGGTTGTTATAGCACATAAAATTACAGAGAATGCTAATAGTCTTAAATACCTGAAAGAAAGTGAATAAAGAAGGTACATCAAAAGAGTACATAGCCTTGCTTTCGATATCCATGTTACTAAAAAGGTCAACAAGTTCAAAGGTATCTTTCAATGAAAACCTACAGAGCTCATTACGAATCGAATTCAACATTGTCATTATTCGTTTCCCAGTTCTTGCATGAAAGAACAACACACAGACGATACTGTATCCAAGGGATTATTAGATTTTATGAATCTTCAAGCTCCACAGGTTCCAATGAACCAACTTCCTCTTAGTTAATATCATTCATATTCAAGAGCTGCACTAATTAAAGTTTATTTTCACTTGCAATGTTCTAACATTTGATGAGACAACAGCTATAAAAAACTACTTTTGTTAATGAAGTTAGCTAGCATTTGTTTTTGTAGTCACATTTACTCATCGCGACAACATTTCACACCTTATCCGGTTGGAGAATGGTTACCAGGTCAACTTCGTAATTTTTCCAAAGATTTGAAATATTAAAACTTTAAAATGCTTTTTTATCTTAGTCCTAAACTGTGGTACTGATGAGCAATATCGAAGTATTTGAGCATTAAACAATTCTGGTAATCTGAAGAAGATTTTCAAACTGAGCATTATTATTCAAATCCGAAATTTTCATGTGTGAAACTGAAAATTTGAATCCAAGGGAAAGCCCCTTTTTCTATAAATTGAAAGTACAACAGAGAGCCAAATTAGTTACATATTTATTTGGATAGAATAGAAGTTAGTTTGCGAAAATGTAATTCGAACTATAACTGAACAATATTCAACCGGTCTCATCCTTAGACGGATAAATAGGTAGAAAGTACAAATTCCTTGAACTAGTAATACATTCCATGACATACAACATAAAATGGGAAGTAGGAAACGCGTTGTTTTGGTGGGATATCAAATTTTATTCTTCGGTCTAGATATATTACTCACAGACTCATCTAACCTAAACCAAATTCTCCCTAGAAATGTGCTCACTTCAATGGTCAAATTAACATGCATTAGCCAATACCTTACTTTGATCTTAGTTGAATTACCATCTAATACAAATAATTTTTTCGGTAATATTTCAAGTTGATATTCATCTTAGACTGACATCAGTTGGAGGAACGATGGGAACTTGGAAGCACTGAACACCCGCTCTGACCTGGTATGGGACTCCTCAGCAGTGCGCACTCACGACCTCGCTAAGGATCGGAGCCCAGACCTTTAGGTTCCGAGGTCAGCACGTTACCATTGAGCCACTGGGTCGGAATCCAATGGTTCATATTTCCAACTTCTGTCAGTTCACGACATAACGCAACCGCCATCCAATTTCATCGTTGAGTAACTGTCCTCACGACCAACGGGCTGAATACCAACTTGGAATATTTCTAAATCTCCACAACCTCCTCAAAATTCAATTGAACTGGTGCTCATTGGTGACTAGCTCAGAGAGGTGATTCGCGAAGTTCCAATAAGAAGTAGTGACCAGTGTGGCTAACCTGATGGTTGTGAGAACAGTTACTCAACGATGAAATTAGATGGCGGTTGCGTTATGTCGTGAACTGACAGAAGTTGGAAATATGAACCATTGGATTCCGACCCAGTGGCTCAATGGTAACGTGCTGACCTCGGAACCTAAAGGTCTGGGCTTCGATCCTTAGCGAGGTCGTGAGTGCGCACTGCTGAGGAGTCTCATACCAGGTCAGAGCGGGTGTCCAGTGCTTCCAGGTTCCCACTTTTCCTCCAACTTATGTCAGTCTACGATG